CAGCTTGATCACAGAGAAATTCATGGGCACTTCATAATTACATTACTTGTATGATTTTGTTTGGAAGAACATAAATACCCATTTCTTTCCCAAGCAACATATATACACTTGACTTGTTACTTTTCCAAATGAAGATCTTTCTTGATTGTGTTAAGTACAGTTTTCTGGGGTCACTTTTTGAATGATCCTGATACCACAAGTTGATCCATGTTCCTTTGGTTTCCCATGCCATTAAGTATAAGGGATATCCTCATCTTGAAAATGCTAAATCCCCAAACAGAACATACCTATATGGCCTGAGTGCATAAAGAATTTGTATTGTAAAAGTCTGTTACATACCGTTCTCAAATGCGATAAAATTTGTGGGCATTACACTATTTATAAAATGCCAAACAATGTCACAATAAAATTCTGATACACCCTGTTCCATCACGACTTTATGAAGTTGGAAAATGACTTTTTGATTTTCAGATTAACAAGAAATCTCTGGCTCAATGGCAGAAGAAATGGTAAAACACTTTGAATATATACAGTTTATTTGGCCTTTAGAGCCTGGATTGTACATATGTAGTTCTTTATCCCTAGATCATAGATCACAAGTTCAAATGCATTTAAATATAGGTTCTAAAAATATTGAGAGGCATTTGTTTATAGTTGTTGAAAGAAAGTGAGAAGGATCAAGTTTCAAATGCATGGACTTAGACAAATGATATGGAATCTTTGGTGATGTATGATACATTTTACAAGGCTGGCCAGTTTGATCAAATCAGTGAAGGCTGAAAGGATGGGGTTGGTCTGCAGGTCCACTATGTATGGGGTTACCTATCCCACTGTTGCCTATCAATGGTGGTGGCAGCAGACGTCCTCCACTGCAGTGGACGTTGTCTTAAACTCCCCACACAGGCACCTATATGAGAGAATTTAATATTTAACATTAATAATTTTGTTACGGGCCTAAATTTATGACAAATTTCGTGCTAATTATTATTGAATTATACCTATGTCTCATGATTGGAAAAAGTACCATTGTTATTGTTAATGTCGCGATTCAGTTATAATAAAATTTGTAAGGTATAAATTCTTAATGATTATTTATCTAGGTGCTACAGATTTTCAACAAAAGCACAATACTCACCATTCCCTCACACCAGTAGGATGATTTCTACAGACTCTGTGGCAACTTCTGGCTCCTCCTCACTCTCACCACAACCTTCTTTGCATTTTTCATCATCAGCAACTCATTCGTTTCTTTCTTGGGCTCGACGATCTAACTTGTAGTGGTTGTATATCCTGACATTAACTCCTTCCGTTATCAGTTCATCCATACCTTCCACGAAACTATCATCATTTGCCATGTATTTCGCTCTCTCGAGCTGAACTAATTCGGCAGTATCACGTGGCTGACATCCTAAATCGAGAACGAGGCTCTTAATGGAAACAAGAAAAAATGGTATTATATCATTGTTGTGTGCTGATGTTCACAAATAATGCATGATACATTAAATCTCTCTCATTCCAAATATTCCTACAAAATGAAACAATGGCTTGTAAAGATCCAATGTGATGAAAGACCTCTGTTTTTTGTAAATAATGCAAAACTAAACTGCAAATTAACATAGGCCTAGCTAATACTAGTAATAAATCCTGGGACTATGCAACCTAGTCCTGGTTCTATAATAAGGCTATATGGAATTTCAAACATTTATAAGAAATTATATGGCTAAAAGGCCTTTGTGGTCAATAGTCCTAGCTAATCTATAAAACATATGCATTTAAAGATCTAATACTATTGTTACGCCTCCGTTCGTTAGTTAATTTTCCGTAAAAATTATTTCCGAAGAAACTTTAGCGATACAAGTCCTTTCTTAAATAAAACTGGTTTATTCTTTTTAAATACAACTTTGCAATACACTTAATTTCCACAGTCACGCTATAACAAACGCTATAATTCACAACGAACATCTCACGTGCTCGACTCAACAATACGTCTCTCTCTCTGTCCGCAGTTCAATTACCCATTGTTTCCGTCACGTCTTGGCCGTCTTATATGTACAAGAATACCGAAATTTGGTAAACTCCCGAGACTTCATGAACGTTCTAGAAGCGCATGACGTGTTTCTAGAGTCACGTGACCCCCGCTGTCGTAACACTATGGTGAATAAAGCTTAAATGGGTCCGTTAACACAGTAGCCTAGGCCTATTAGGCTTGTATAAGTTGTATAAATTATTTACAGGTAACCTTGTAAAAATGTGGGGAAAAATAGCATAAATTTACATGTATTTTAATATGTGAAGTGTCACTTTCAGACACAAAACATTAATTGGTCTTGAATAAACATGAACACTTACTTTTAGTGACCAAGGAGTCTAATTTTTCTTCTGTGAATGAAACACATATTTCACATCACAGCCGTGTTCATTAATTTTTACCGAAAAATACAACAAAGTGATCAGTTTTAGTGAAAAATGTAACTGAAATACTTTATATAAATGGAGTAATGGGTTAAGAAAAAAAATTCATGATTACTATTATATTATTCAGTCACATAACCAAATAAACATACAATGGGTGGGGGCATGGGGCAATTAGCCCCAACCTCACTATACGTTAGTTTATAGTATGGGAGCACTGCTGAATGGTAATGATGTTTGAGGCACAGAAATAAAATTTGTTGCAGTTTTTACTACTGTAGGATTATTTCATTGTAGTCTGTGTTTATGTTACAGGCTTTCATGTAGAAGACATTCGCAAAACTGTCCAAGAAACAACGTTCTAAATGATAGATAAACCCTTTGTTGACCAATGTAAGTCTAAATTAAATATATAGAAAAAGTTTTTTTGTTGATTTTAAAGGATTAAGAAATATTCAGTGTTGCCCCCATCCAGTTAACAATGCATAGGCCTAAATTAAGTACACGTTTTATTTGTTAAAGTATGTACACACAATAGTATATAATCAATATTGAAATAAAAATTACAAATACGATAATGAATGTAGGACTTTCCAGACATGCAGTTTTAGGCCTAATATCTATGACACAAAGCGTGACTTCAATAAATAGCTGTCAACCTCTAATACCCACGAATGAGTGAGAAAATTAAAAAGCCGGGGTTGTTGCTTTTCTATTTTTTATCTTAATATTCATAAAACAAAGTCAAAAGCACTGATAAAAAAATGCCATCACCACATTATTAGTACACCATCACCACACTAGGGTTATTTAGAAATCACCCTCCACCTTGTACGTCGAGATTAGCTAATATATATATCCAGTATTTACGCTTGCTAATATATATATATCTATGAACTCTATAACTCACTGTACAGTTCATGCACATTTTATGTAAAAAAAAACTTGCATTAAAACAATAGTTTCTCGATTTTCTTCTTCATACAAAATCATTATTTGTATCTGATCATTAAGCCTATCGTATATTTCTTCATGCTAAGCCTTAGTTTTAATTTTACGAAAATATATTTATTTAACTGAATATGACTTACTGTTGGATTCCTCTGAATCTGATGTAATATCTAGAATCTATTCATTTAATTATCAATTATTTTCAAGCCATGTCTTGAAGCGTCGAAAATGCACAAAAAAGAAAACTTCGACGGTGTGCGCCAGGCTCCTTCTAGCGGCTTGCGCCCGACACCTTATTTCTTATCGTATGATCAAGCAGTAGGTCGGCCTAGAATAGGGTTATGCCTAAGTAACGACGCCTACATTTTTACATTTGAAAATTTTATTTACTTTATCGTTGATGATATTCTGAAAAGCAAAATGCTGATCCCGATGACGACTTGATCTTCTAGTTCCATGTTTTTGTGAGAGATTGAGTTATTTTGTCTTTCAATATCATGCAGTCCTTGGTGTTTGCACTGTTGTAACTGGCTGAACGGTTACACTGTGCATCGAAAATAATTCTTACTGGACGATTCAGGCACGATGTATGGGTACTTTTTTGTCTATTATGGTTTCAATTTAGTATTATACTTTGCAGCACCTTGATATTTGGTTAGTTTTAGTTGTTTTTATGTTGATGGACCGTTAGATACCAAACCACTTTCATTCATCTTGTTTACTAGATTGACAAAAAATGGCGTGCACTTGATTATATGTGATAGCCCATTTCATTGGTTATAAGGCGAACACAGAACCAATCACTCGACGCTATACACATTCACTGCAACTATATATTTTAGACTGATTATATCTTCGCTACCCAGGGGCGTCCAGAGCCAGCCCAGGCCCGGGGTCAGTAATATCATCTGGCCCCCTTTCATTCTATTTATTAACTTTTGATGAGTTTTCATAAAGGAAATTTAGGTGACAAATTTCTTCTTGAATCCATGGAAAAGCAGTAGTCATTTTAGCTCATTTTAATTAAGTAATATGCATTTCTAGTACGCTTTGGAATATCACACTGCCTGGCTTCGGGGCAGCTGCCCCTCTCCCTGTCGCTACCCATTTCGCACAGTTGAAGTAAAATGCTAGGATTGTTCTTACATTACATGATTAATATCATATGTTTAAAAAAAGAAATTAAACATTGGAAACCGTGAGATTTTAGCAGCCAGGCTTGAGAGGGTGATCTGCGTTCAAAATGCATAACTCTCACGCAGTAACGTCACCCATTGAAATATTGGACACAAAAACTAAATTATTGTCCATCCTGGATCCCTCAGGTTAGGCCTGTACACGACATGTTTAAATTTATTTTAGAATGAGCTTTACTTTGAGTTTTATCTTGGTAGTTGTTTCGGTATGAATCCAGAGATTGTGGTTCGTAGGAAACCGGGGGTGTTCAGAAATATCAGGTCATCCCATAAGTTCTGTCCGGATTTTAATTCTTTGAAATTTACTAGTAATTTAGAATGTTTAATGGAAATAAAAAATATTTATATATTATACATATGTATTTGGACATATTTAAACTTATTAAATTTTATTTTACATAATAAAGTATTTCAAATGTCACTGATTAAAGCCCTTTGAACATGGAAGTATCTAAGGAACATTTGAGGCATATAATGCTTTATGAGTTTAAAAAAGGGAACTCTCCAGCCGGAGCGACTCGAAATATTCACTCAGCTTATGGAGAAGAATGCCTGAATGAAAAAACTTGCAGAAGATGGTTTGCAAAATTCAGAAGTGGAAATTTCACCCTTGAAGATGAAGACCGAACAGGACGTCCAGTTGAGTTTGATGATATGCTCCTTGTGCCATCACTTGATGAAAATTCTGCAGTATCAGTTAAAGAATTGGCAATGAAGCTTGGTTCAAACCATACAACTGTTCATCGTCATCTTCAACAACTTGGAAAGGTTCCTAAACTTGGAAAATGGGTGCCTCATGAATTGTCTGAAGTGAACCGTAAATCGCGAGTTGAGATCTGCTCTTCTCTTCATTTTCGTGACCTTATTTCGCCCTTTTTGGATAGATTTGTGACTGGTGATGAAAAATGGTGGTTTAGTAATGGGGAAAAGGCCCAACCACAACCGAAAATGGAACTTCATGCGAAGAAGGTTCTTCTCTCTATCTGGTGGGATTGCAAAGGAATTATTCACTTTGAGTTGCTGCCAACTAATGCGACAATCAATGCTCAAGTCTATTGTCAGCAATTAGAGCGTTTGAACGCGGCTTTAAAGAAAAAAGACCTGTTTTAGTGAATCAAAGAGGAGTGGTGTTTCATCAGGAAAATGCAAGACCCCACACTGCAAAAATCACGTCCCAGAAGATTGAAGAACTTGGTTGGGAGAAAATTCCTCATCCGCCTTATTCTCCCGACCTTGCTCTTTCAGACTACCATTTGTTCCGTAGTTTACAGAATCATTTGGATGGATTAACTCAAACAAGCCATGATGAGGTCGAAACTGACATTTCAGAGTTCTTCTCTTCGAAACCGAAAGAGATTTTAGTAGTGGGATTAAAAAGCTTGTAAGTAGATGAAAAGAAGTCATAAATAATCATGGAAACTACATTGATGATTAAATTTCAATAAAATGTAAGATTTGATCACTTGTTTTCTTTATTTAAAATCCGGACAGAACTTATGGGATGACCTGATAGATTGCTCTTTCCCCTGAATGAGGTTTGAATAGGGTGTATTATAAATACATGGCAACAATGACGTTGAAGCTAATTCCCAAGAGATCTATTCCCGAAACATTCATTTAGTGCGCGGTTAGCAAGAAAAAGAGAAAGGGGTGTGATAAATATGGTTTATAGCTAAAATTGTTAATTTGGAACACTCTCATATTTCTGTGCGGCTGTATAGCAAAAACTGCCTTCACAAATAAGTGGTTTTAACGAACATTCAGGGTATTTTTTTTTTTTTTTATTTTTTTGCTTATTGTGTTTTAACTCGGTGATATGCTAAATTGGCTTTTATGTTTTTTGTAATTTGTATTTTAGGTAATATAATTTTTTTCCACTAACAAATACCGCGCAAATAAAACTTTACTGACTGTCCAACAAAGGGAAAAGCTGTACACGAATTCTTTCTGTCAATTAAACAAACACCACTTTTAAACATTATCGTGGTTGGTTCCCCTTCCGAAAGTCTTTTAGAACAACAGCACCTTATTACCCACAAAATACTTTACACAATTTTTGTGATGAATTTAGACAGCACGTGGTATGCGTACTTTTTGTTTGTGTGGCGCGTTTAAAACTTTTATGTTTAAGTTAAGTATTTGTTTTGAAAATTTGTCATACTAAAATTAAAAACAAACCAATCACTGCAAGATTGAGATCATGTCATCTGTAGTAAGTATATGTTTGTTATTTTGTTCATTGCAATTTTTTTCATAGAATCTGGAAATAAATAGAAATGAAAAAGGCAAAGGTTGAAACTAAAACTACTTGTAGTAGTAAAAGTAACCGATGGTAGTTTACATGGAGCATTAAATTGTTAAACTTAATCATAGTGAACCGTTTGTGTGATCTGTTTACTTTTTGCATAAGGTAAGTTTTTCTTTTCTCAGGGGTGAGCATACAAGGACCACCTGTGCTTGTACTTTGTAGAGTTACAACTATAATTTACAAAATACAAGTATTGTATTATTCAATTAGTAAATTAGGAATGTTCAAACTCAAAGTTGTAAATTCCCAGTCAAGAGAGAGAACTTGATAAGTGTATTAGCATTAGGCCTACTCAAACTCTAATTACTGTGTTTTGTTAGTAGTAGTACTGATGCAGTGTGTGGATGGGGGAAAAAAAGTTGTGTTAAATTTTAAATCAAAATACTGTTTAAAATAAAATGATATACTACACTGTTAGTTTCAAGCAAACAAAATAAAATCATCATATTAGATGTCACGTTCAGTTTGTTGTACTGCACATTTTTAATCTACAAGTACAAGAAACATTGAACTACCTGACAAAGAGCATTTGCTCAAAGGCAAAGCAAAGTATTAAATAATTTTACTTTAACAGTGTTTTAACAGTATTTGTCAACTTCAGTTTTATTTCCTGTTTTCCCCCAATGTATGTGATTTTGGTTTTCCTTCCATTGACAAGTACTGCAATGCTAAAACTAAAAGTAGTTTAGTGCAAAATTCATAAAAACTCGGAACAGTGCCCATATAAATCATACAGTAATTATTGGAATGATTTTTCCATTAGTCCACTTAAATGATAAGTCACTTTATTTGTAAACTTACTGCTTATAATATAACACTTGTGGGCCCTGTTGAGGCTGTCCTATTCAAATTAAACAAAACAAATTCAAATCCAGCCCTGATAATTTAAATATTTATCAAGCCTTCCTTTATACACTTACATTTACTACATCCTGCACACTCAAAAGCCAACCACCCTAAGAGAAATGTAACTGTCTTAAAGTGAAGATGACTCCTACCCCTAACAAAATTAATATTTATGCTTTAATGTCTTACCATTCTCTCATTGATTAATATAAAAAAAAATGATGCATTAATACTATCAGTTTTCTTAATAATGTTTTACACTTCAACCAGATCCCCCCTCTTTTTTTTATTACAAGAGAAAATTTCAGAACTTTTAATCTATCCTTGTGTAATAACTTATATGTTTGTATTATTAGTAAAAATTTAAGAAAAAAATAGAACTTAGTAATCCAGTCAACTTAAATTATCAGAAATATGCCTTTCCTTATTATCCCTCAGAGGCCGTACCTCATCTGAACGCTTTGCATACCCTTGATATATTTAAAAAAAAAAAAACTTACTGTTACTTTTTACATTTTCAGCCAACCTTTTTTTTTCATACTTACTTTTTTGATTGCGTAATATCCTATTTAATTTTCTACATTCCCTGTTTATGGCAGTCAGTGTGAATTTTTACCAGTATATATAACTGTGCAAAATTCATGGTCACTGTATTATATTTACATTGGCCATAACTGTGAATAGGGTATGCTGTTTATGTGGTTAGTTAAAATTAACTATTTAACTATGTAGTGTTTAACATATTAATTACTCTTATACCCATTACTTGAAAGAAAATTAATTTTGAAAACCATTAAAAATGTTTGGGTAAACTTAAAGCAAAAATAAAATGTTTTGAGTTTGTGTAATGAATGTTTATTTTAATGTCATTTTGAAACTTATAATATTTGATGTGCACTTTTTAATTTAATGTTTGTAACAGCTGTGCCTTTAACTTGAAATATAAATTTTTGCTCAGTGAATATTTGTTGGACTTGGGGATTAGTTTTCTATATGTTGGGAGAAGTTGGTAGCCAGGACGTTCTTGATATCTAAAAGGAGCTTGCTTGGAGTGCTGCTAGTATTTTTAAATATACACATACTGAGCTTTTGGGTTTTATGAGTTAATCATCACAAAGTTTACCAAAAGAAAGTTAACGACAATCAGTTTATATTTTTCTTTTTTTTTCTAAATATTCATTTTTTGCAGCATTTATAATGTAAACTACCATTAACACACTACACTGGTGTACGTATACTGTAAAAGGACAGATTTTTTTATATTGTTTATATACAGTTTCATAAACTAGAATAACCGAGTTCACAAATTTACTAGAAAGAAATGCATTTCATTTACATTGGTTAAGATTTCAAGATCAGTTTAATTAAAATATTCTTCATGTTACACATTATAATCAATGTTACACATTTGAAACTGAACATTTTAGAAGCTTTGCATTAGAAAAAGAAAAAAAAAGTAAATTCAAAAACTGGAAAATCGTATATATTTTATCTTAATAACTAAGTTCACAAACCTGTTGAAAAGAGAGATATTCTCCTTGTGAGATAAGACTTACAGATCACTTATGAACTAAAATTTTCTTCAGGTTAAACATTTCAAATCAGAAGGCTTTAAAGGAATGTGTCTTATAATGGGAACAGTAAATCTTGTTATCTATTAGTCTGTGTGTGAGTCTGTTGGTAGCTTGGTAATGTAGTGCTAAGTAGAGCAAAGCAAACATTTTTTTTTATAGATTCCATGTCACTAGACCCCCAGAAGTTAAAGGATTAGCTTTATTTGTACCAAAGCATTTAGCTTTTCTACTGTTTACCCTTTATACAAGTCTCTAGCAACTTGCTCATAAATTTTGCTGAAATGTTACTATCATTAAAGACTAGTCCAAAAACAAGAGTGTCAGAAATCATGCTTTAATGCTAGGTACTGCCCACTTCCACCTACTATTAGCATATCTCTGGGTGTATCTGTTAAACATGTATGAATAATTTACTCTGGTTTCCTCTATTCTATTTATATTGTTTTGTCATTGTAGAGTCCAAAAAATCATCCTTATAAAGTATGGAGCTCCGACAGGCAAACAAAAAAAGCTGTGGTTGCTTCGTCTCTAGAGGAGCTAAGAAAAAAGGGTAAATTAAAAAAATATTGTGTAAACATTTTTATAGTCTTATAATTATATATGAAAAATAAATCTGGTTTTTATTTCAGATAATATAAAACATGAAATAATTGCCTTGAATTGTGCTCTATTCTGCAAGTCTAGCTGAGCATGTAAACAAAAGCTCTGATGTGTTTGTTGTTTCTGTCGGCATGAAAGTTTTTACTAATGTTTGTTTTAATGGTAACAATTTTATCTCGGGTTAGAAATCTACAAGTTAACTTGTGGAATTGTTTGGCTAAACTGTGGTATCCACTGTTTGATTTCTTATAAATTGATGTTGGATAGATATATGCTGTTGATTTTTTTATTTCATTTTGTGTAAAATGACCAATAATTTTGATAGGTTGAATGGCTTTCTTTCACCTTGTTTTAAGACATTCTTATTTTCTTCCCAGTTCCAGAAGGCAGAAGTTTGTAGATGATAATGAATTAATGGGTATTGTATTAAAGATGCTGTAATTATGCAGAGATTTGGACTATTTAGTGAGCTGGGCAAACATCTGACAAATGCTTTTTAATCTTACTGAAAATAAGAATATGTATATTATTGTAGTTTTCACCTCTTAACCTTGATGAGGAAACCAGATGAAGTTGATAAGGTAAAAATCTGGACACAAGGATAGGTTAAGATCTCTGAAATTGTTTTTTCATGAAGAAAGAAGAATTAGATGGGGATCTGATTGAGGTTTTAAAGCATTAAGGAAATTTACACTATTGATGCATCATCCTTCGTCATAGTTAATGGTGAGATTGGTAGGATGATAGGGGTGTGTGCATAAATATAAATTTTAACAGGGTAGGAGTCATCTTCAGTTAAGATAGCTTTATTTTTTTCTAATACGGTGGTTAACCTTGGAATGAGTTGCCTTCAGATGTGGTGGATGTTATTAGTTTATGGGTGTTTAAGGGAAAGCTTGGTAAATATTTCAATCATAAGTACTGACTTTTAAGTGGTTGATGTAATGTTGATGGACCAAAAGGACCCTTGATGTTCCTTGAATGTTACATAATAAGGCAAACAGGATTTGAGTTTGTATACTTAAATACCGAATACAAGTTAAAAGAAAGAATCCTGGAGTAGTGATAGATAAGTCACTCAAGGCACTGAAGCAGTGCATTGTTGCTAGGAGTAAAGCTAAAAGAATTTTACAGTGTATTTATATCTATAATGATACAAGTCTAAAAATGTAGTTATCTCTATGCAAATTGCTATTGAGGCCTTACTTGAAATACTAGTTATAGGTTTGGTATTCGTATTTAAGAAAGAATATTGACTTTTTGGAAAGGGTTCAGAAGATTACTACTAGGATGATCCTGGAGAAGGAAGGATTATCTGACAGGTTTAGATAAAAATCTTTTAACTTATTTTCTCTGTCAAATGAAGGTAAGAGGTGATGTTACTGAAAATTGCAAAATTGTGTGTGGGATTTATCAGCTGAAATCCTCTGAGTTCTATATGCTATATTAGGAAGCTAATAGGGATTTATCAGATGAAAGCCCCTGACCTCTATATGCTATATTAGGAAGATAATAGGGATTTATCAGATGAAAGCCTCTGAGTTCTATATGCTATATTAGGAAGATAATAGGGATTTATCAGATGAAAGCCTCTGAATTATATATATACTGTATTAGGAAGATAACAGGGATTTATCAGATGAAAGCCTCTTGAGTTCTATATTCTATATTAAGAAGATAATAGGGATTTATCAGATGAAAGCATCTTGAGTTCTATATTCTATATTAAGAAGATAACAGGGATTCATCAGATGAAAGCGTCTGAGTTCTATATTCTATATTAAGATGATAACATGGATTTATCAGATGAAAGCATCTTGAGTTCTATATGCTGTATTAAGAAGATAACATGGATTTATCAGATGAAAGCCTCTTGAGTTCTATATGCTATATTAGGAAGATAACATGGATTTATCAGATGAAAGCATCTTGAGTTCTATACGCTATATTAAGAAGATAACATGGAATTAGTAGATGAAAGCATCTTGAGTTCTATATTCTATATTGGGAAGATGATAAGATGAGAAGACACAAGTTTTAAGATCTGGAAAAAACATGATAGGCTACAGATTAAACAGTTGTTGTTTTTCTAAAAGGGTGATTGACTTGTGGAATGGATTGCTCTCAGTAGTTAACGGGAGCTTAAGATGAGGAATTAATGACTTCCTGACAAATAATGGGAGAGTTTTAATTTTTTTTTCAATTGATGGATACTGTTTAAACATTGTTTGAAAAACTGTATTCAGTTTTGGTCACCTTTTTTTAAGAGAGGGCATTACTTTGTTAGAAAGGGATGAGAAAAGAGTTACCAGGATGATTCCAGGTTTTGAGGAGATAAATCAAAATCTCGAGCCCTGTGCATGAGAGAGACTTGGTAGAACATGAATGAGGATATTAAGAGAGGTAATGTAAAGGCTTAAAATCCATAAATCCAGATGATGTTTTTATAAATTGCAAGTTATAAGATTTGAGTACACAATTTCAAAATATGGAGAACACTACAATAAAGGATCTTAGAGAAGATTGGATAAGTAATTTAGAGATCAGGATCGGATGTAGGAAAAAAAAGGTCGTAGATAATGATGTGGCTCATTTTAAGTATTCAGTTATTCATGTACTGCTGTTGCAGATTAAGTTATATTAAATAACTTGCCATATTTGTCTTGTAATAAGATTTAGAATATTTCAGAAGCCTTCTCTAATAAAATTGTTTCTTAAGGTGCCGAAAAGCTTGGTTATGAACTCCACCCACCATTGAAGGTGGTGTTAGAGTCTGATGGAACAGAAGTGGATGATGAAAATTACTTTCGAACAAGAAATGAAGACACTGTATTCGTATTGCTCCGTGAAAATGAACGGTGGATCCCTACTGGTGTTGAGATGTTAAGGGCGGGTAGGAATTAATTTTTCTATGCACGATATTAATAAAACAAAGTTATTAATTTCCTTCGATAAAGTAAACGTTCAAGTTTATTTCTTCAGTTTTCCTGAAAAAACTGGATATGATCTTACAGTCTTTTTTTTTTTTTAAGCTCCATATTGTACGAAGATGCAAACAATCTGAAAAATTTGTATATGACAATAAGCAATCGTCATGTAATTGCTTTTTTTTTATTTTCGAGGGAATAGGCCAGTGGTTACCAAAGTTGCTAGGAGTGTCGCGAGAGTTTCACCAAACGAAGAATAATTAAGAACATAAAACAAACAAACTACAAATAAAATATTACATGTGGCAGCAGGGGTATTAAATCCAAGGTAAGTGGATTAGAATGTCATCAGTGAAAAAAGTTTGGAAACCACTGGAATAGACTCTCCGAATTTCTCGTCACACTACTACGACCTACTTATTAAAACTGCTTTTCCTATGTCCACCTCTGATCTCTAACATACTCATACACTGTCTTTAATATTGCAGCTTTTACCACTCCTGAAGGCAAGCTATTCCATTGGCCATCTACTTTTATTAAGAGTAACTGCCTTTCAGGAGGCTCGGAAAGTTTGAGTACATTACGTGTGTAAAGCCCGCTTAGTTGAAGTTAAGTTAGAAATAGCTTCGGGAAACTATTGGAGGGGGATAATAACAGATTAGGAGAAAAACTGAAAGAAGTAAGACAGGAAATGGATAGAGTTAGGGTAAAGGCTTGCCTTGCGGAAGAGCGAAAATGGGAGTACTGGGTTCACGAAAATGTACAGCAGTAGAAAGGTTAATGTTGTAGAGACAGATTCAGGTACGAGTCTCCACTATATTTAAACAATTAAATGCCTCTATTGAGGAATGAAAGGTTTACTTAGATGAGAAGTTTTGTAGTGGAGAGTGTAGAAAAACTAGGACTAGAATTTACTTGCCAGGTGCTACAGTACAAGACATTATAAACAATGTTAACAGTTTAGATAATGGTACCGAAAAGTTGTCATCCAGTGAGGCAGTGGTAAGTTTATGGACTTGCAATGCGAAAACCTGGGGTTTGATTCCCCGTGGTGGACACAGCAGATAGCCAAATGTGGCTTTACTCGAAACGAAACAAATCAAGGTGTATTCTCTTCTTGTAACGAGTGTACCAAGGAAAATCTTGCCTTACTATTTATTTATTTTTTGAGGATTTATCTGTTATCTGGACAGTGGGAAGGATTTAGACTTGGTGTACTTAGATTTTGAAAAAGTTTTTGGTAAGGTCCCACACAAAAGATTAGCCAAGTTAATCACATCAGGAGGGGTTGGAGAAGGGTAAGTTAATTGGATTTCAGAGTTCTTGGGTGGGAGAAAGCAAAAAGATAGTATTAATGAAGTACAAATTCTTAACTATACATGATTTGTGGTAGGAGTAATTAGTTTTGCTGTAATTAAACTTGTGTTCTTAGGGTTGTTTCTTTTCACTTATTCACTGTTTAATATGGTAATGTTTTTTCTTTTACGCGTGTTATTCAAACTGGGGGACAACTATAGGGTAACAAGTGAAATGTTTTGTCAAGTTATAGTTTTTCCATCAAGTAAACTGTAATATTTTGAGTGGAAAAATAGGAATTTCATAGTTGAGGAATCAAACAAATATTGTCTTCTTATATGTTATTAGTAGCTACAAAGTTAGATTACAGAGTTTTGTTTTTAAAGGTTAATGATAACCATAAATCAGAAAAGTTCGTTATTTTAAACAATGAGAAAGTATTTCAACTTAGTTTAATTTTAAAGTTACCTTAATAGCTTCTTCTTCTTTTTTTGTAGCCAATTACTTGGTAAAGAATACTTTATTTTACAGGACAGGATGTTGTGGATGCTCCAGAAGTTTTGACTGCCAACTTTGCATCCAATTGTCTTGAGGAAATATTGAGTTACCTGAGGAAAGATGTTGCTCTAATCTTTATGTTGAAAGAAGCGCAACTTGAGGTATTTAATATAAATCAATCTATATGTTGAAAGAAGCGCAACTTCAGGTATTTAATATAAATCAATCTTTATGTTGAAAGAAGCGCAACTTGAGGTATTTAATATAAATCAATCTTTATGTTGAAAGAAGCGCAACTTGAGGTATTTAATATAAATCAGTGATTTTTGTTTTCTGGAGGAATATCAAAAGTATCTTGAATTTGGGATGATTGAGAGAATCTACAGTTGAGGCTTTCTTTTTGTATGTATACGTTTATTAGAGGTGTACATTAAAGGCCTCGTAGGCTACCATTCCCAGATCTTCATTGTTTGTGCTGTCTCGATCAAAGTGTAAAATCAATATGACTTTCTACTCTTAACTTGAAGATATGATCATTTATTTGTACGTGGATATAGCTTTATTTAGATTGTGTTTTCTTGTATTTGTATTGACTATATATAAGTTTTAAACTGTTAAAGAGTTTTCTGTCTTTCCAAAAGCATTATGTCGTATGGGTGTATGTGTGAATACTGTATGAATCAGGGCAAATGTGTATTCATTTAACAGGTTCTATCTTATTAATAATTGACCACTAAGTTTATTAAGTTTTCAAAACAGATATACTTAACCCTACAATGGGATTAAGTAAGTCTATGTACTTGTAATATTTATATACTATATAACTGTTCCTAAAGACTTCTTTGCAGTCTTTATACAAAACTAGATATTTCTACATCAGTTTTATTTTGATGTAGTAAAGGTTGCACACAGTGTCATTAGTTGGTGGATGTTTACCAGTGTTTTATGGGAAAAATTAAAAATTACTTGAAGTTGATGGGAAGTTCCTTTAAAAGTTCAGTGCTAGTATATCATGTGGTCTACAAAGATATTTACACTAAAGCGTGCAGTCTACACTAATACTATCATCATCATCATCACTGTTTTAACCTTCATTTATTTACAATTGGCACCAGTTATTATAAATAACACTTTTAAACTAATAAAGTACAAAATATTATCATATAATGTTTTGGGGCAAATATAATCGGAATGAAATAAGTTCCAACAATCAAAACTGACACAATTATAACCTAAATTTAAGGTTCTCTTTTGGAACACACAACTTATTAAATTATTATTATTTGCTGAACAAAAACACGGATAGATACAAATTATTTAGCAAGAAATTACGTTTTAATGAAGCATTAAAACGGTGATGATGACAGTATCTTTGTAAACCGCACGCTATAGTAGCACCAAACATTCTTTGTTTATGGAACTATGCATTTCAAAATGTGTGTGAGAATTGAAACTAAAGTATTTTGTGTATTAATTTCTTAAACTGCGGGCAGTGTGATTTGCTTACTGTAGTGTTTCTCAACAGTAGTTTGCGAGAGTACTTCAGGGGGTTCACGAGTCTTGTCCAAAAATTTCATAAAAATATAAAAAAAAACATGATTTATAGAATGAAAAATATTTTCTGCAAAATTAAATTTATATGAACTAACACATTTAATTTTGGAATACAGATTTTCATGTACATAGAATCTTTTTTTTTTTCAAAACAAAAAAACATTTAGTGGTCTGCGGAAATATTTAAAATTAAAGGGCGTCCTCAAGTTACTGAAGTTTGAGAACTGTTCACTTACTGCACACACAAAAAAATATTTAAGAATTTCTTGCGTGTGTATTTGGTGACTATTTGCTGTAATCATAATTTTTGTACAAACTTTAAATATGTTATATAATGAAGTATACAGTAATAGATCAAAATAAATCACAAAATTCCAAGTTGTATTTAAGTATGCATAATATATATATAAAGATCATTTTACACTTTTAATTCATTATTGTTATTAAATATTTTTGCATTTTTCATTCAAGGGAATTCATTGGAAAACTTGTTGAAATACAATTTATTCAAATAAAACAAAATTTCTGTAGTAAATACCGAAATAATGTGTTTCAGTTTATAAAGGACTTTATAGATAAGGCACATGTACGTGCCATTTGAGCACATAATTTTAAAACATCCAGTATTTTTTGTATAACTAGTAAAATACAAAGACATACATTTTAAAGATAAAAAGAAGAAAATATTCGCGTGCATTTTCATGCTTTCCTGACACAAATGTCAGACACGACCTGTAACCTTCAACTGGATAGCTTAATGCCTTTTAGAGATTTCTAGACTGTACCATACATCTCTGAAACTTCCTGAAGGGTTTTTGTTTTACCCCTCCTGCACATGCTCTTTTCACACATTGCCTATCCCTCATGATGACATAACTGATAAGTAAGAATAATTTTTGCTTAATTTGTATTTGAGTATCATTGAAGAAAAGGTCAAGTAAAAAACGCAAGTCGTCTGACACGAGAACCAATTTTTAAATGTCACTCATTTAACATTATATTGATGTGATTAATCGTTTAATTAATATCATTAATTAAAAAACTAATTTTTAATTTGGATTCAAGGTGGTTACACTAATAAGAGTTCTTCTTGTGTATAAGGAATGGGATTTATATTTTTTAATTAGGGCTCAAAACATGGAATAGAACATTCATCATTGTAGCGATATGATGTTTCGGTACATGAATAAAAAAAAACATTTCTTTTTGTGTAGTTGGTTGCTGACATGAATATAGATGAACATGCCATTAGCCGGGCTGACAGAGACTTTCTGTTTCATCTTCAAGGAGCTTGTGACAGAATCCTGATTGATAGAAAGGAAGCTGAAGATACTAAGACTTTACTAGGTCTCCTGAAGCAAACCTCTGATGAAGTTGATAGTGCTACTGCACCAAAAAGGTTGTTTTTTAAACCATGTCAGGAATATAAGGATTTCAAAATAAAGAATAAGAAATACTTAATCATCTCTAAAAAAAATAATTAAGTTTTAACTTGAATATCTAAATAAATATGAAAAAGCAAACTAATTTAGAACATTTTTTTAAACTTGATTTTATGGATGACACAACTTGGAAAATGTTGAAACAATACATATATTTATAAACATTAATCTATTCCAGTACTAACTAAAAACGAAGTTTCATGTTTTATACTCTAATTCTGCGTAATTCAAGTTTCTAACAATAGATGGGTTAATTATTGCATTTGAAATAACAGTAAATAGTTTAGTGTACTTGCCGTAGAATTCTCTACAGATGAAGACATCATCATAATATGCCGAGTGGACGTTGACTTAATACCATGACCACTCACCATTCTAATCTTATCTCAAACATTTTCTTGTAGAGTTTAATGAGGTTCAACATCTGATTGTAACCCTTTTTGGGTTAAGTGATTAATGCAGATATCTTGAACTGTCCCTATCTTTTTTGTTTGTACTGCATCTGAGTTCAGACTGTCTCATGGGATTAGTGTGCAGGCTTCTTGAAGGTTCCGAGTTCACAGTATTTTGACTTAACCCTCTCTGTACTGCATCTGCGTTCAGACTGTCTCAAATATTAGGCATGCTTCTGGAAGGTTCTGAGTTTACAGTATTTTGACTTAACCCTTTCTGTACTGCATCTGAGTTCAGACTGTCTCATGGGATTGGTGTGCAGGCTTCTGGAAGGTTCCGAGTTCACTGTATTTTGACTTAACCCTTTCTGTACTACATCTGTGTGTTCAGACTGTCTCATGGGATTGGTGTGCAGGCTTCTGGAAGGTTCCGAGTTCACATTATTTTGACTTAACCCTTTCTGTACTGCATCTGAGTTCAGACTGTCTTATGGGATTGGTGTGCAGGCTTCTAGAAGGTTCCAAGTTCACAGTATTTTGACTTAACCCTTTCTGTACTGCAGAGCACTTTTCAGTCGTGTGTTCACCTGCGTATCAAATTTCGTATATTAAGTAAAAATAATTGTTATAACTCTGTCGATTTCAACACCTTTAACTCAAAACAAACAAACTGATTGGATGGATAAGGTGGAACTTTCTGATCATCATAGATATTATATTATGTTTGTTTTAAAGTTTATGAAATATGATAAATTAGTTCTACTATGAGGAGAAAAATCAAGAAATAACAGTAACTATCCTCCAGTCCAGAAAGGAGTAATAGCTCTAATTATATGTACTTCTTGTCCAAGATTTTAGCAGAAACCGATCGTGTTTGTGAAACATTCTTATTCAGCATTATACCCTAATATTTGATAATAATAAATGTGAATATGCAAGTTATCAGTGTCATTAATTCTAATGTGAAAATCTGATTAGTAAATGTCTTAAATAAAATTGATAATAATGATAATTCACATGATTAATCAAGTTTACACCACAACAGATGTTGTATCCTGACCGGGCTGATGGGCCTTAGTATTGGCGAAAAGCCTCATCGGCACTGGATGTGGTAGACTTAGTGTGTTAACATGTTATAATGTATACTTCTTTGTTTTTACTCATAGAATTTGATCTAGATATTTATTGGTATGGAAAATCTTTCGGACATGGTAAGCCTGTAACTAGAACGGTTGATGCTCCTTCCTGTAAAAGGTTTTAGCCACATTTACTATTCAGTCAGGTTTTGTATTGTGCTTAGGTATTCTTCAAAGCTCTTTTTTTAATCTCCTTATTTACCATTTTGACTAGTAAGGATGTGTCAACCTGTTCTAGTAGAAATCTCCTTACTTACCATTTTGACTAGTAAGGATGTGTCAACCTGTTCTAGTAGAAATCTCCTTATTTACCTTTTTGACCAGTAAGGATGTGTCAACCTGTTCTAGTTTTCTGCTTCTGTTGGTGGGTTTGTTATGAGAATGATATTGGATAGTCTTAGTCTTGGCATGGTCTCAGTGCATCATTAAACTATGGGACAGTCCATGAATGGTCATGCTTTCAGCCAACTGTGTCATGTTTCTTCCACTCTTTGTTAGTGTAATGACTCTAACTTATTTCTCAGTCAGGAGTACAGAATATATTTGAAATTTGGTTTTCTTTTTTTTTATAATTAAAATGATTCTTCAATAATATTTGATCAACACATCCATTCTCAGACAAGGATTTTCCCCAGTGTTTTAAAAAAAGGTTGAATATCAGATATGACACGGGCACCAGCATGACGATTGAAGAGTGGCTAATGTTACTCCTGTTTTTAAAAAAGTAATAATGATTCTTCCAAAAAATATAGGTAATTTATCATATTTCTGTAGTTTGAAAAATTTATAGAGAGTCTAATAAAAGAAGCTTTACAAAAATCACTCGGTGAAATATGATAAAAGAAAGCCAACATGGATCCATTGAAATAAAAATCTTGCCTTACTAATCCACTAATGATTTTTGACATTGAAAGGGGTTGGGACATGATGAACTTAAGCTTTCCAAAAAGCTTTTGATAAGGAGCCACACAAAATGTTATCTGAGAAAGTTCCATCTGTAGAGGCTAGAAAAGACCAGTTTATTGGATTGTAGAGTGTTTGGATGGGAGAAACAAAAGGATGTTATTTACTAAGGCTGTTCAAACTGGACCCTTGTTACCAGTGGAATGCCTCAGGGACCAGTGCTTGGGCCTTTGCTTTTACTTATTTACATTAATGATATTTATATAGAGCATAATTAGTAATGTATTTTTAGCTGTTTTAAGGATGGTGAGGTACTACAGAATGACTTGGATCGATTCACTGATTGCAAAACCGATGTTGACTTTGATAATTTTCCTCTTCAAGTTATAGTTACTGTTGCTGTGTTAGTTAAACTACTGAGAGAAAAATGAAAGCCAGTAGAAATTCTAGTATTCAACTTTGCAAATCGAAACAAAATGCTGTAGCCATCTTTTCTAGAACTGATAAAATCTTGTTCCCACCATAGACAGAAGGGGAATCAGCATGTTGTGGAGGGGGTACGTTGATTTGTTTAGTTAGTAATCTCAAAAATCAATCTTCATGCGTAAAGTGGTGTAAGAATGTGATGTAACTTTGATTCTAAAATGTAATTTGGTCCATTGTCTCTATTAAGTTATATTTTCTGCATTTAGTTTATTCTTTTATTGACAATTGGGTAAGAGGTCTAGCTGAAGATAAACATGTATGTATGGAAACCAAGTGATACAATGAGAGCTTCGTAGACCTCACAGAAATTCATGATGTCACGGTATGACATATAGGAATTGATGCCAAAAAGGCTTAGAAATATTTATATCCTATTGCCTCAGAATTGTGATCTGTACTTTGGGGCTGTGGGTGCATTATAAGAGTGATGGTCAAATCCCACCATTCAATTAGAGTTGACCAAAAGTTGGTAGTAGCTACTTTTTAAGAGCAGCCTTCCCTCTAGCCATTAATTCAAAGTTAGGAATGGCTGGTGCAGATAGCCCTTGTGTAGCATTGCCTGAATATTAACAACAAACAAATAAGTCCTTTATAATTACCCAAATAAAATTTGTTTACAAATCTCCACGCTAATCTTGCATATTTTTATTTTCTCTTACAGTCAAACTGAATCCCTTGCCCAGTCTACTTCAGACTCTAAATTATTTAATTCTTTAAGTATAATAAGAACGTGGCAGCAACAAGAATATGGATCAACAAGAAAAGTAGACCCCAAATATGTAGAGGAAAACAAAGTGCAAACACGAAGCCATGATAAGTATGGAACGTCACAAGTTGAAGAAACTGTGCATCAAGTAAGAGGAAAGGCATCAAACAGAAAGAAAAGTGAAACAAGACCAAAAATAGACAGAAAGAGAAAATGTGTAACATCAGGCTCGTCATCGAAAAAAGAGAGAAAAAAATAATATTTAAAAAAAAAGGGTATATTTGTTGTTAAAACTAGGACTAATATTCAGTAAAGAAGCCCATATATATTTGACAGTTACAAAGTTTATGTTTTATCAAGTCTGCCACCAGTTCGTGTTTATCACCGATAAATTATTGCAATTTTGTAACTCAAGCCTTTTTTGTGTTTTTTTTTTTTCGGTCTTACTTTTAAATAAATTCAATGTAATTGTTCTTTTTAGCATTTATATTTGTATAGTGAAATTGATTCAGTGAAACAGGCTGAATATTGGAGATTAATTTTCTTTAATTCATGAAAATAAGCTTGGAATATGAAAGTTAATCTTTTAAAGATCCTAAACCATGAGATAGTAATATATTATTGAAAAAAAATTGTTTTTTTTTCCTGCAATTTAATTTTCTTCATTTTTTTCTGGATTTTGTTTTGGATATTCTTTTTTTGACAAATGTACGACCGTTTTAAGTAGTGAAGCCATAGTTTACAGTATATAAAAATAGCTTCTTTTAATAATATATTTGACATTCCAGCATAATCTGTATGATGGCTAAAAACACTCACAATATTTCCTTCTTTCTTGACAGTACTTTCAGTGAAGGGGTATTTGTTAATCCTATTCCATTGGTTTTGTTATCAATAAAATCTCGTGGCCCTTTATAATGCAAAACCTATAGTTAGAAATACTTAATAAATATTCACCCTCTGTACACTATACCCAACTTACAAAATTCAATTTCCCAAATGATAAATTAACAGTGCTTTCATCTTTTTTTATGGCAGGTTTCAAAATAACTCTACACAAGAACATATCATTATGTGATATCGGACCACAGTGCCTCCTTTTGAGTAGATATAAGTATCACCTGGTGTAAAAAATATGTGATATCAGACCATAGTTCTTCCTTGTGGCAAATACCAGCGTTGTCCAACACATAAATGTACCATGTTGATTGGCCACTTGTATTTTCAAATCATTTAATATTTTAAAATATATTTTATTTTTGATTTTTTTGTACTGCTCCTACAGAGCCAAAACTGGTTGAAAATTTTCACACAAAATATTGTAGTATCTAATATTTCTCAACTAAATCAATACTTACACGTTTGTTTGTAATTATGCACAAAGTTACACAATAGGCTATCTGTGCTCTGCCCACCACGGGTATCGAATCCCGGTTTCTAGCGTTGTAAGACCGCAGACATACCGCTGTGCCACTGGTGGGCATACATACATACACATATTCTATATATAAGTTTTATTCTGTAATTGTTGAAATGTCATGTTGTTTTACTATCTCTATGTAAGTTTGATACTGTAATTGTTGAAATGTCATGTTGTTTTACTATCTCTATGTAAGTTTGATACTGTATTTGTT